TCAGGAGTACCTATACTGAAATTTTGAACAAAATCCATTTTTTGGCGGAAAATGACCAAAATTGTAAGTCTAAAGCCTTAAAGGATTTTTGGCCAAAAATATTTTTTCTCTCTGAACTAAAATTTAATGTGACTAACTATTTAAGTACATCCAGAATAATACACAAGCACCAAGAAATGACCTCGAAAACCCATAAGTGGCGAGTAATTAGCATTGCAAAAGTAATTAAAATATTCTAAAAATCATTTGAACATTTTCTAAAAGCCATTTGAACAAATTATAATCAAGATATCAAATTTTGGTTAACAGATCCTGAAGCATTTTAAAATTTCCTATACTGGAAATTTTGGGCAAATCCATTTTGTGAAATGACAAGTGTAAGTCTAAAACCTTAAGGATTTTGGCCAAATACTACTCTCTTCAATTTAAAATTTAGTATTGCTAACTATTTAAGTACATCAGAATAATACACAAGCACCAAGAAGCCAGGCACTAGAAAACCCGCAGGGTGGCGAGTAATTGGCAATGCAAAAGTAATTAAAATATTCTAAAAATCATTTGAACATTTTCCAAAAGCCATTTGAACAAGTTATAATCAAGATATCAAATTTTGGTTAACAGATCCTTAAGCAGCACATTCAGGAGTACCTATACTGAAATTTTGAACAAAATCCATTTTTTGGCCGAAAATGACAAAAATTGTAAGTCTAAAAGCCTTAAAGGATTTTTGGCCAAAAATACGTTTTCTCTCTGAACTAAAATTTAATGTGCCTAACTATTTAAGTACATCCAGAATAATACACAAGCACCAGAAATGACCTCGAAAACCCATAAGTAGCGAGTAATTAGCATTGCAAAAGTAATTAAAATATTCTAAAAATCATTTGAACATTTTCTAAAAGCCATTTGAACAAGTTATAATCAAGATATCAAATTTTGGTTAACAGATCCTTAAGCAGCACATTCAGGAGTACCTATACTGAAATTTTGAATAAAATCCATTTTTTGGCCGAAATGACAAAAATTGTAAGTCTAAAGCCTTAAAGGATTTTTGGCCAAAATACTTTTTCTCTCTGAGCTAAAATTTAATGTGCCTAACTATTTTAGTACATCCAGAATAATACACAAGCACCAAGAAATGACCTCGAAAACCCATAAGTGGCGAGTAATTAGCATTGCAAAAGTAATTAAAATATTCTAAAAATTATTTGAACATTTTCTAAAAGCCATTTGAACAAGTTATAATCAAGATATCAAATTTTGGTTAACAGATCATACTTAGCATTCAAGGGTACCTATACTGAAATTTTTGAACAAAATCCATTTTTTGGCCAAAAATAATAAAATTATCAGATCCCTAAACCTTAAAGGATTTTTGGCCAAAAATACTTTTTCTCTCTGAACTAAAATTTAATGTGCCTAACTATTTAAGTACATCCAGAATAATACACAAGCACCAAGAAATGACCTCGAAAACCCATAAGTGGCGAGTAATTAGCATTGCAAAAGTAATTAAAATATTCTAAAAATCATTTGAACATTTTCTAAAAGCCACTTGAACAAGTTATAATCAAGATATCAAATTTTGGTTAACAGATCCTGAAGCAGCACATTCAGGAGTACCTATCAGGGCTGTGGAGTCGGAGGAAATTTCGGCTTGTGGAATCGGAGTCGGAGTCGGTAAAATTGTCCAGACTCCGACTGAAGCTATTCTGTTCCTAAGAACAAATATATGAACTGAGGCATATTCATTGCAGTGATTCCACTGATCCCACTAATTTTCTTAAATTATTAAAAGAATTTATTTCCATTTCATAAGCATTATTATGAATTTATTGTAGCAGGCACAGTATAGCACTATAATTTTGGACGATAGTCTCTTCTTTACCATTTGAAATTTTGAATTATATCAAATTTTGTTTCGTTGAAAACTGCACAGAGGCTCTCAGCTACAAAACAATTAGCTACAACCTGTTTTTGGTGAGATTAAGGCAAATTTAATTTAATAACTTAATCATGTAAGGTTTATCCATTTTCCTTAATAAGGTATTCATTTCTTTAATGTACATAAATATATAACTTTACTTTAAAAGGAATTGTAGGATCATCATTTAGATCCACATCAGATTATGAGCTTAAACAAAATTCATATGCTGAGATCGAACTTTTAGATATACATGTAAATGGTGTTTTCTAGTTAATATCTTGAATTCTTAATAAATTTATTTTTCTTTTGATTGAAACTTTGAAAGTCAAGCCTATCATCTTTTTGTAGTTCTTAAATATCGTCCAGATCATTAATAAAGCTGTAGCAGTATAGCCACGGTGTTTTACTTTTTACCTATGCAGGTTACAACATACAAATTACAATTAGGATGGTAGAAATAGTTGTTACAAATAGGCCAAGGAGTCGGAGTCGGAAGCATAAAAATTTGAGGAGTCGGAGTCGGAGTCGAAGGTTTTGTCTTCGACTCCACAGCCCTGCAAAAATCACCAAAATGTAAGTCTTATACCTTACAAAATTTTTGACCAAAATATACTTTTTTCTCAGAATTGAAATTTAGGGAGTTTAACTAATTAAGAACTTTCAGAATAACACACAAACCCTAAATAACACCTTGGAAACCCATAGTTGATGAGTAATTTGCATTGAAAAATGTCATTAAAATCATTCAATGGTCATTTTGGCCACTAATTACTCTGCAATCGAATTGTGGACCACATAGTCATAATCAGCAAGCTCAGGAGTACCCATACTGTGGTTTTCAGTAAAATCAAATTTTTGGCCAAAAATCACCAAAAATGTAAGTCTTACACCTTACAAAATTTTTGACCAAAATATACTTTTTTCTCAGAATTGAAATTTAGGGGGTTTAACTCATTAAGTACTGTCAGAATAACACACAAACCCTAAATATCACCTTGGAAACCCATAGTTGATGAGTAATTTGCATTGAATAATGTCAGTAAAATCATTCAATGGTTATTTCGGCCACTAATTACTCTGCAATCGAATCGTGGACCACATAGTCATAATCAGCAAGCTCAGGAGTACCCATACTATGGTTTTCAGCAAAATCTAATTTTTGGCCAAAAACCATCAAAAATTGAAATTTAGGGGGTTTAACTCATTAAGTACTTTCAGAATAACATACAAACAATAAATCACACCTTGGAAACCCATAGTTGTTGAGTAATTAGCATTGAAAACATGATTACCTGAGGTTATACACCTCACTAAGAGTCAGTTGTCTCCTCCTTACCTCCTACTCTTTGCAGGTTAGGTTAGGTAGGTTGGTTAGTTGATTCCTTGGTATGAGAATAGTTTTTTTGTGTATACCTTTGGTGTGTTTTACTAAAATTTGACCTCCATTTTTGTGCAAAATAGCAGTTTGTTAAAATAGTAAATGTTATTTTTGGTAAAAACCGCTAATTTGCAAAATTTAATGTCAGATTTGAGCAAAACACACCACAAAACGTGAAAAAACCTATTCTTGTAGCAAAACCTGAGGACAGCCAATGGACGAATATTTACCAAAACAAAAATCTATAGTCGAACAGTAGTTGTGGCTGAAACTGCAAATTTACCCCAATTTTTGGTAAACGTTAACTTAAGTGCTGCAAACACTTTCGCCAGAAAACACAAAAAAAAATTCCTGCATGAATTTTGCTGCTTTTTTTTATTGGAGAAACTTTTTTCTGGGAAAAAAACAAAAACTAATGTTTTTCAATCATGGTCAAACATTAGCCTAACATAACCCCCTAGCGGAGGGGGACTTCGCATCCCCCCCGACCCCCCAAGTGGTTATGTAATGTTGTCAGTATTTAACTTATCTTTATTTAACCTAAAGTAACGTATTCACCTATTGGGGAAGCGCTATTTTTTTCAGAGCTGGGTCATGTATCATATAGCATGGTAATGCGATTCAGACGACCCGCGCACTACACACTCCCCCTTCCATGGCTCGCTGACCACTAAATGTGGTATATACTATGGTATAACTCATAAAAGAGAAACACATCCCCAAATGTGAACACTGTCACTAGCAATTAACGACAAAAATTATGGTGGAAAAGCAGTGTATTCTTGCTAGAATTGTTCGCAGCATTAAGTACACGTTAACCCAATTTTTCAATAATCTTGAAAGTTCTCTCCGACTCCTCAGTTGTGAATACAAAACTATTGTACACTTTAAGGGCGTTAACAGCCAGCACATGCTTGAACAAAGTTATTTGTGCCACCTTGTCCAATTGATAAAGCACGGCATGGTCACTCCACCTCTGCTTGAAAATCTTCCAATTCTCGGCTACTTTGGTACCAAGTGACACGCTGTGGTGACTTGATACCAGGTATAGGGTTGAGCGACATTATGATTAGGCACTTATTTAACTTGAGGTTTGAGTCGTCTTCACAGTAGGATAGCAGTTACAGTAGATCTGCACAGCGATTATCACAACAGGTAGATGAGCACAGCAGGTAGGTGACCACAGTAGTCGTCGCCGCTACACTCAAACCTCTCCTGCTGTTACCTCTTCTTGTCAGCACTTCTTATTCTGCCGGACTCCTTTCCCATCATGTACTCCACCTGTTGCCATCATGTTAAGTGTTGAGCAGGAACGGCAATGGGAACTGTAGGGTGATAATAATACAAGGAGATTATCGTTTTGCTTACTTGGCGGCCATTAGGATCACTACAAACAATAACAAAGAACATCGGGAGAGATTAGCGACCAGTGATGACAAGACAGAAAGGGAGTAATTTTATATATTTATTAAACATTATTATTGTATGGGTGATCGGAAGACCTTTATATGGCTGTATAACAAAGGGGACGTAGCTAGCTAACATGTAACATACGACAATTATTCAAATAAATGCAATGTATTTAGAAAATAGTTACATTAATCTTGTTATAATTAGCATTGACATTTTATTTAATACTCAATTATTAAACTGTGGTTCTAATAACTATCAAAATAAATATTGCTAAATAAAAGATGAGCTAAAGGAACAGTACTGATGCTGGTGATGGCGGCGAACACTCCGCGCATCTGTCTGCACATAACACGAATGAGATAGCTATTGACTAAACAGCTGCCGTAATTACTGTAGGCTTCAGGTATTAACCCTTTGTGTAAGTATTTAATCTTTGGGAAAGGCCATTATTCGGCCAGTTTGTGAAATAATTCAGAACATACTTGGCGGAGTTCGTCTTACAAGCTGACAAATTATTGACAGTTGTAGGTCATGGCTGTGAGCTTGTTAACATGACATTACGTAGCTTTGATATCTAGTGTATTCTGTAATTAACAGCAGTTTGAGCCCAGTCAAAACAGATGACATGCTTTTTTTCCTCAACAGAATCCCATATGTTCACAAGGATTTGCAATTAGTAATATTTTAGGTTAGATTTTGCTAGGTTTGGTTAGGTTAGGTTTGTATGGAAAGGAAGACTGGTCGGTGGGTGGGAAGTGTTTGTCACCATGTGGAAGCTCAACTTACGTGGTACCAAGTAGACAGAACCGTCGTCTTTAAGTATTATCCCCCAAAAAATCTAAAATTTTTGAAATTTTTGAATAGTGTTTTCTTCAATTTACCAAAATAAAGTTATCATATATGCAAACACTGTACCGTTTTAAAATTTTAGGTTCTTCACGTGTATGGAACAGTTACTCTGAAATGTTCTTGTGATGAACGTTGACGTATATTAGTGCTCAGGATAAACAAGAAAGCCAAAAATATCACACAAATTGTAGATCCTCTTCTTTATATAGGAATTTCTTTAGGTGATACTGTACTGTCTTCTAGTACAGTACTGTGTACTGCCATACAAAGTATTAAAAAACACTTAATATTTCCAATAAAGTTATCAAAAAATACACTAAACCAGGTCACTACAAAACAAGCATGGTGAGGAATTTAATAGGGAGACCATTAGGTTCTTGAATTGATATGTTAAATAGATTGATGTCAGAAAAAAAAATATGACTGAATTTAATGAAGAAACACTAAATTATTTCAGTCTTAGTTAATTCTTATTTATAGTTTACCCAAATTGATCCTCCTTATTTGTTTAGTGAATTTTCTTCTCATGCCTTAAGTGCTGCAGCAGGTTAAATAAGTCACGTAGCTAAGTAAGATTTTAGCAGAAATGAGTCGCTGAACAATATAGGCCACCATTTTTTTGTGGTTTTATAGCTTATTAAATGCCAAAGATGTGCCGGTTGTGTCAAAGTCGGTACTGTACTGTGCACTGTAATTGCTTTGAGAGAGGGAGTAACTTTGTACAGTACTATAAATAAGTATGTAGTTGTTTACAGAACCCTGTGTGGTTTCATTACTGTATATGGGCAATACTAGTGGGTAATTCCAAATTATGCATTACAATTTCAGAACTTAAGTTTTTTAAAATGACTTTTCATCCCTAATCTAATCTGACTAAACAACTACTCATAATCCAGTATGTTTTGAAGGCTGCATAAATCATGTTTTAAAAGATTGTGTGTTCTGAAAATTTTATCAACACTACCTATGGTATTCTGGGCTCGTTACACTAATTTGATTTCAGTAAGGTATGTCACAGGCTATAATATGATACCTTGCTGCTTGTAATATTTTTATTATACAGTATTTTCAAGAATTCCAAACTAATTTATATACAGTACAGTACTTCCTTATCCCATGTTTCCTTGTATGTTGTTTTATATGCAGTATTTTCTTGTGAATTTTTATACAAAATTTGCCTCCCATCGTTGCCTCTAATTTATAATTATCAGGTAGAATACTTACCGGTTTCACAAGTTTCAAGTGAATTTCCTGTGCTTCTTATGACCATCTTATGGGATGTTTTGCGAGTCTGTAAGTCCCTATTACCCTTTACTTAAGTTTCTTGTAATGTATAGCATCAAAAGTACTGTACAGTAATCTAGTTGTACCAGCCAAAATAAGTTTTTCTTTGTGTAGTCAGTAGATGAAGGTCATGAAACTACACTATTCTTTATTTCAGACTCAGGAATGTCCAGCCAATACAAGCGTCCATCAATTACTAGTGCAGGCGGCAAACGGCGATCTGGTAGCACTAAATTTGAACTCTCTGAGGAACAGAAGACTGACATCAAGGAAGCTTTTGATCTCTTTGATCCTAATGGCACAGGCACAATTGATCCCAAGGAACTCAAGGTAGCCATGAGAGCACTGGGGTTTGAGCCTAAGAAGGAAGAGATTAAGAAGATGGTTGCTGAAATTGATAAAGATGAGAGCGGCAAAATCAAGTTTGAAGAATTTCTGCACCTCATGACTATCAAGATGGCCGAGAAAGATGTGAAAGAGGAAATCTTGAAAGCATTTAAGCTGTTTGATGATGATAGTACTGGCAAGATCTCCTTTGCCAACTTAAAGCGTGTTGCAGAGACCTTAGGTGAGAACTTGACTGATGAGGAGCTGCAAGAAATGATTGAAGAAGCTGATCGAGACGGTGATAACGAAATTAACCAGGATGAGTTCTTCCGCATAATGAAGAAAACTAGTTTGTATTAATTTACTTACTGGAAATATATTTGACTTTGTGAGTGAATTTCTCCTAAGTTTGATATTGTGAACTGTTTAACATGTGAACAATTATTTTTTATTGTACTGTGAATAGTAATTATACTAGACTCTTATTCTCTACTCTCTTCAGCTAAATAGATAAGTGTTGACGTTTAACTAAGACATTTTCTGATTTCTTCAGTGGAGTTATTTGAGTGCTATAGTTTTTGAAATTGTGCCTACAGTTGGAGTGCAGTTACTGTATGCTGTTGGGTGTACATGTGAATCTTCCGCCATATCATAGATGTGGCTCATAATCTATTTTTTTATTATTTTGTGCTACTTAAATGAAATCTATTTTTTATGTGCTTAGATTTATTAGTGTCTTCTCTATCCAATTTGAAATGGAAAATGAAGAGTGTGATGTGTTTACTCTGGAAAGAGAGAGAAATCTTCAGGATCCACAAAAACCAAGTCCAGATATAAATATACCTGTACAGTCACCTTCTCAAAACATGCTTGAAAGACTAAAGGAATTAAGAAAATGGCAAGAAATGCAGCGAGAGAAACTTGCTACAGTCCAATCCTATAATCTTGTTGCTGCTTCCTCCACTTCCAAAAGTCAGCTTTTAGAAGAAGCAGCCTCTAATTTTCATTTTAAATCCCAGCCACCAAAGTACTCTGTATTATCTCAGGCTGAAAAAACAAATGAATCGGATGCATTATCAACTCTGCCCCCTTCTGGTGTTCTACCTGCCGTAAAAGTCAAAGAAAATCATACTGTAGAGGAAGAAACATGCTTGGACGGATACACAGCAAGACACGTCACCTCACAGGATGCAGTAAATGTATGTCACAATACTTCATGTACCGATGAACTACCAGAAGAGAGTATACTTAATATTGGTATCTCTCAAAGATGTCTGGAATCATCATCTGATCAAAATATACCAGAAATATGTAATACTGGATTCCACAATGAGCATCAAAAACTGGGTGATACAAGAAGCCAACTCAATCAAGTCAAGGATATTGCTAAGTATAATTCAGCCCATGAGAGTGTAAATGTACAATCATGTCTGTCACAAGATAAGAGTTCACTTTGTGACAACTCTGTTAGTGAACAAATTTTAGACAACCAATTAGAGAGGGAAGTAATGTATGAATCTCAGAAATATGGTTCTAACCCCAAATTCAGTGCTTGCTTTTCAAAAATAAATGTTGATAAAAATGCATCAAATTTTATCATACCAGCTAGTAGCTGCATTAGCAAATTCATTGTAGAACCTGACACTAAACCAAAGCCTAAGCACAGATACTTAAGGAAAGGTGAGGGAACTGCAAGATTTTCTATGAAGCCAATAAGATTAAAGAAAACAAAAGCATCAATAGATGAGAGGAATATTAATGTCGGGAGTACAATTCAAAAACAAGAAAACATAGACGTTAACAATCAAGAGTTTACAAGTGTCAAAACATCTGTTGCTAATGGTCAGGTAGTGGGAAGTTATTTAAGAAAAACAGGCAACAGACCAATAAGCAAACTTCAGTTGAAGAATGTCCCAGAACCAATAATTCCAAAATCAAGAAATAAGATAGATAGAACAGATCATACAGTTTCACAAGAAGAAAGATGCTATCCGACTTTTTCAGAAAGACATGAGCTTGTTACACATTGTCCAAATTTACAATTTGATAAACAGAGTAGAAAGGAACGGGATGAACTGTCTGCTTTTGAGAAACTAGAGGAACTAGCAGATGATTCTAGTTTTTCCTCAAATTCTTCCACAGTTTGGCAGCTGCTGCAACGTGGTCAACACTCTGCAACATCTACTCCTTTGCGTTCATCACCCCCCATTCCATCTCGGAGAGCCCTTTCTGATAACTACAGTGACCAAGAGAAATTTAAGAAATATGGTCAGGAATGTAGCAATGTTTGCATTAATTTACTTGACAGAATACAAAAACCTAGTGTAGACAATGGGGAGTCTTCCTCACAGAGACAGCAGGTAGTCTTAAATATGAGTCAGGTACTTGAGCAACTGAGAGCAATTGTCAAATTAGAAGAACTTAATGTATCAGAAGCTGAAATTCAAACATTTTTAGAGAGTTTTTCTGATCAACACACAAGTATATCTCATGAAATGGCCTCACAATTCGCAACAAGTATGTGGCCTGCTTTTACCAATCCCACAAGTACACCAGCTCCTTGGCAGTCCCAACCCCAACTTAAACCACACGTACACTTCAGGGATGAGGGGGTTGAGGTTTTAGAATATGAACTTTCTGAGAGTGATAGAGAGGATACATTGACTGATACTCCTTCCATTATTGTAGATGACAGTGACCTAGTCACAACATCAGATTTGGAGGCTTTGGTTCACTTCAATGCTCAGCAATTATTAAAGAATATGCCTCATACTCAAATGGCTGATTTAAACCATGAAAATAATCAATTTATGGAAATTGTTGAAACTGATGATTCCAAAACATGCAGTTCAGAGTGTTCTGCATCAAGTGACGATACTCTCACAGAACCACAGCTGGAAAAAGGCGTACAACCCATTGCACTACAATTTTCTCCTCCTCCCCAACGAAAACCAGGTAGTGCTTCAGATTATATACAGTCTATATTTGGAAAGGATAGAAATTCTCCCAAAAAGTTAGACCCCCCAAAAATCAAAGACAAAACCAAAAAGGATAATGTCAAGCCTCACCATGAAGTTAAATACAAAGAAGCTAAAACTGTTGCTGCAGTTCCAAACCAGAAGGAAGAACAAGATTTTGCTGACAGTGAAGTTGACACTTACAAGACCCTTCTGTTAGCTAAAGTTTGTGAACTCGAAAAAGAAACAAAAATATTTAAAAAAGAAAATTCTAAACTGCAAAAGCTCCAACACTTGGCAGTTGAAGAAAAGAAACAGCTAGATGATGAAAAACTCAGATTACATGAAGAAATAGCTAGAGAGAAAAAAAGACTGAAAGACCACATTGACCGTGAAAGGAATGCTATATGGAAAGAAAAACAGGAACTTAAACAACTGACACCATCAATAACAATGGCCAAAAACAACTCTCTCGAGGTGGTTTATTTAAAAGAACAAATTCAGGATTTACACGAGGAAGCTAAGAAGAAAGAGTCGTTGAACCAATATTCCATGAAAAAGTTAAATGATAGAATCAAATTATTAGAAGAAGAAAATAGACAATTGAAAGAGAAAGCTTTATATGTTCAGAATTTGGAGAAAGAAAATTTAGAACTCAAACATAAACTTGATCGAACAAAACTGGGTGAAAAAAAAGCTGTTGTGGATCATCCAAAAAATACTGCAAGAGGAAAGTTAAAGCCAAAACCAAAGTCCACAATAGTTGATGGTGTCAGCAGATCACTGAATAAATTGGTGAAATCCAAAGGAAGAGGAACAATGGCCATCAATGAATATAAAAATGATGATTGTGATGATAAACATGTTGAGAGTGGTCAGGAAACTGGCCAACATAAAATTAACTTGCCCTCTTTCGTCAGTACAGATGTTGATCAAGTTGGCCGCACCAGGAATGAGGGGATAACTGCATCCTTTGAGAATGTTGAGAAAAACTTTGATGACATGATTTTGACAGGAAGTGGTACAGGTACTCGGGTTGGTGCCCATACTGGGGCTTTTCAACAACAAAATGTAGATAAGAGGCAAGGTAATATGCCTGCAGGAACCTCTGTAAATGAAGCTCAAAACCTTGTGGAACCCAAAAAGGCATTTCTACCTACTGAAGATAAGAGTATGGATTTCACAGAGTCGTACAGGGATGATGGGACCAAAGAAATTATATATGCCAATGGCAATAAGAAAGAAATTTATCCAAATGGAGTAATTTATGTCAGTTATTATAATGGAGACCGAAAGGAGATACACGGTGATAGAACCGTTTATATATATGGCACAGATCGCACGAGTCATACAACTTTCAATGATGGAAAAGAAGTGTTGGTTTTCCCCAATGGACAAAAAGAAACCCGCCTTCCGGATGGATCTTCAGAAATAATCTTTACGGATAATTCTCGAAAAATAGCTCTTCAGGACGGAACTGAAATGTGCATTATGAAAGATGGGACTGTTGTTCGCTCAAACCCAGACGGCAGTAAAGTATTTGAGTTTGTCAGTGGACAGAGAGAGATTCATACCAATGCAGAGAAAAGACGAGAATACCCAGATGGAACCGTCAAGATCTTGCACCAAGATGGAAAGACCGAAACGCGCTATAAAACAGGACGAACACGCATAAAAGACTGCCAGGGTAACATTATTTTAGATTCCCACTAAGGTTTCATGGGGCAGTATATCAAGAGCGTTCACATATCACTGATTTATTTCCTATGATTTAAATTTTTATGCGTACTGTAGTTGTTCAGTCTTCATACATTTACCCTCTTGGTAATTTAAACACACTTGAATGTCATCTGGTCTTTTGTATGCTGCACAATCAGTGGATGCATAAATTTTTTTAATTACACTGTACATCATCAAGAGATTTTGATTATAATAAGCTAATACCGTACGAGTAAAGATCTGAATATCTACGAGAGATACGGTATGTTCTGGTGTCCTGTTATGGATACAGGTATTGGTTAGGTTAAAATAGAAGTTTTCTTTTCCTACTGAGACAGTTTTCTGTTGCATCATTTATTTTATAGCCTTAAAATATTGGCCCAGCTTCTCAAGGTACTGCATCATACTTTATAGATGTGCATAATATGACATATTAGCTTTAGCCTTTCAATATTATAAATTTCTTCTGATTCTTGAGAAGAAACATTTAGGGCAAATACAGTAATACCGTATACGTGTAATAAAGATTACTGATTTTGCAGCATAGAAATCATGTAAATTTCAAATTTATTTATTAATGTCGGGTATCTGCAGATGCCTTATGGTTAACATTGTTTACTGAAATTAAATTTTTGCTGTAAGCTATTTCTTTTTCTAATTTATGGTGCATCATTAGGTACAGTATACTTGTGCAGGCAATGTGGGAAGTAATAAACCGTCCCCTGCTTGGTAATGTACAGGATGGTCCACTTTATTTAACCATAAAGTATCTAGGTAATAGAAAATGAGTAGCCTATACAGTACTTACATTCTATAATACTGTACAGTAAATGTGTTCACCATTATCGTAATTTGGTTATCCTTTAGTACTAAGCTGTTAAGGTATCTGCAGTAACTTTAGAACAAGCTTCAACCTTACAGTTTAGTGTCAATGGATAGCCAGATTGTGAAAGTGGATTTGATAGAATACCATACACATAAATAAATGTAGCTAGGCTCTCGGTATTTATTGCTCCCTGTTGTTCCACTTAAATGGACCTGCCTATATTCTTTATACACAGTAATATACCGGTATGTGGAAGCTAATTTTGGATATGTGAAGTAGAGAGAGAATTCTTGTTTCCTTTTACCATTTGCTTTAGTATATATATGAAGTTGTCCAAGTGAACATTGAAATGAGTTGAATGATCTGTACATCTTAAAGGATTAAGTCACAAATTTAAGTTTGTAAATGAATTTTTTTGTGCCTTTGAATTTTACTTCCACACTGAATTGAATGTACAACTGCTGCAGAGTTCGTGGATTCCATGAGACATTTGAACTACTGTACAATATGTCTAACAGCTGTATGTCAGTGGGTTTCCCTTGATGTTATTAGAAGCTGTAAAGAAAGTGGGAGGTTGAAACATGTTCAAACAATTCTATCTTGTATGTAGTGTGAGAGAATTACCGAGGTTTATATTTACCCACAGCCTGGGAAGTGTCCGGTTGGTAATGAGTGAAAATTGTGTGCAAGGTGTCATTGAGGCCCCTGGGTAGTACAGTAGTTGTTTTAAAATTGTTTAACCATTGTTGAACTATTTTTTCCCATTTCATTCCCTAAAAAACTGCCTTCACTAGATAAGTGTATATTGGAGATTTTTATTTATATACAATATATATATATTTCAAGTAGTGATTAGTCTAAAACTTTCTTTTGATTACATGTTCTTTGTCTCAATAAATTGTGAAACATAGCTAAAGATAATTAAATGATTTCCAACACACGTTACTCTGTCACAAACAAGAAGACACCCTTGTTAATGAAGTTGTCATTATTTCTACAGAAGTTTATGTACACACAAACATACATTGATACAATTTCATACATACACAGGTACAGATCATTCACACCCGAGAGGTCCCAACTCACATACAGTAATTCCACACACAATACACAGGTTTATTCTGACTCTTAGGCATCTTCCCTGCTATAAATGCATGGTGGTTGGAGTTGCAGTCTATTCATTCACTGTTATTTAATCCTTGTTAGAGCTGTAAAAGATGTGTTCTGCTATGGTACTCCCCTTCCTCAACATCTGGTTTTGTCATCAGATATGAGGCACTAGTCCAAGCTTCCAATACAGTGACAGAAAAATCTAAAAGGCCCAGAAGAGTTTGCCACATGCTTTAAGAACTCCCACACCAAGAGAAAATAATAGCTCACACAATGGGAAGTGCCATCTCAACTCTTCATAGCTCACATATAAAGTAAGTTACAGCTCTTTTCTTCTTCTTTGAATATAGATTTATTTTCTAAGATTGGATTCTGCAGCCTTGCTAAGGCCACATAATTACTTGCACACACAAGACACTAAAGTCAGCAACATTCTGCAGTTTATCATCTTTTCCCCCGTAATTCTTGCGTACCCATCTCCCACACTCACTGTACATACTTACGTTGTTGCTAATACCTTTCTTAGAGATAACACATGACCACCTTCCACCACAGGTCTCTTAACCATGTCTCTAATAAATATTGTTTTTTATTTTTGCCAAATTCATTTTCAGGTCCTTTAATTCTATCCTTTCCTTCAATTTCATAAATTTCTCCACTGTCTCTGCAGTCATTAGCATACAACAACTCCTAGGCGGACCATCATAAAATCCCATGATATTCCCTCCAGCACCACGATAATAAAATACCCTATATAATGGTTGCCCCCCGTGCAACGAGGATGGCCGGCCCAAAGGTCACTTACGCGTGAGTTTGTTTTTTAAGGTGTAGAAGCTGTCGCCAACGCAACCACACCCTAAGTTAATGACCTGCATGACTCGGTGTCAAGGAATAGTCCGAGAAGATCCGGACAACTCGCCAACTACACTGGCTAACCATTACCCCGGAACATGATCCGCAAATCGATTAACATCCAATTACTGCTGGGTAGACAGAGGCAAATGGTGTAAAGAAACTTGCCCATAGTTTCACCCTGCTCGGGGATTGAACCCGGGTCCACTCGCTTGCGAGGTGAGCATGCTGACCATTACACCACAGGGCACCATGGTAGACCCTTGATGAATCCCTACTTTCACCTCAAATTCCTCACTAATATTTACTTTCACTGGTTCTTTATCCTTAATGCCATAACCACTTTCGCATCGTCCGCTTGGTATCCTGTCAAATTCCTATGTCTATAGATATGAAGTAGTCCCTTACCTGGCATCAACCCAAATTGCATTTTGCTGTCACTCTTTCCACAACTTTTTATAACCAAGTCTAATAGCAGGGCCAGCCCCATCTATGTGCTGTTTGTGCAGCTGCACAGGGCCCCCATCACTTAGGGGGCCCCCTCCTGAATATAATATATTTGTTGTTTAGTGGGATTCATATTTCAATTCTGATGTCGTATTGCACAATTTTCCAAATACCTGTACAGTATTGTCAATGAGGCAGTGACAGAGAAGTGTGTGAAGAACTTGGGAAAACATTAACCTGTGGAGAGGAAGCTTATATTACCTTTATCCTATTCACCACTGATCAGCTCATTAGACACTTGGGCTGTCGGTCACGTCTGTTACACACTGTCGGCAAATACTGGCTCCTGAATGTATCTGAACCTGCTCCAGTGTTGGTCAAGCCTGGTCTTGAAAGAGCTCACACTACTGTAAGTGCTGTCACAACACTCTCTGGCAGGTTGTTCCAAGAGTTCACAATTCTCACTCCAAAAAAGCTTGCCCTTCCAGTTTTCTGGACTTGTGGCTTCTTCAACCTTGAGTTGTGGCCCCTTATGGGGCAAGTGTTCGCCAGATCCATGTATGGACACTCAATTGAGTAGTGTCCTCTGAGGTGTTCATAAACTTCAATTAGGTCTCCCCTTGCCTGTCTTTACTAAAGCTAGGCAGTTGCGGGCTCTCTAATCTCTGGATAACTGAGGTGCTGTAGAACAAGCACCAGTCTGGTGACCCTCCTTTGGGACATTCTCACTCAACTGACAGTCTCTAGCATAACTCAGGGACCAGAGGGGGTGACAGTACTCCAAACAGGGAAACACCTCAATCTTGAAGATTGTTAAGACGGACGGATCGTCTAGGTATCTGAATGACCTTCTTTTAGGACCTACTAGTTTAGTTGCGTGATTCACCACCTTCTCACAATGGCAAGTAATTAGCATTGAAAATAATTTCATTAAAATATTCCAAACATCATTATGATCACTAATTACCTCACAATCGAATCGTGGACTAATTAAGTACTTCAAGAATAACACAAAAACGCCAAAATCTCACCTCGGAAACCCATAGTTGTCAGTGTTGTTGCGTGGCAATGCTGCCGAGACCCACAAAATTAAAACCCATGGTGGTGGGTAATGCCCAGTCCCCAAAATGCTGCGCAATTCTAGCGATCGTCTTCCTGTGTCCTGTAACAAAGATGCATGAAATAAGTAGTGACTGCGGGTGGGTATCCTTTCACTAAGCCTACCGATGCGTAACTGAGCAGCTGACTAGGCAGAACTTCCCACCCATCACGAGATTGCGTCGCCATATTTCTGAAAATTGTGAATTATGTAAAAATATTTTTTACATATAAAATAATTAAAAAATAATTTAGTTGAATATTTTTATGCCATTCTGAGCTACTGTATATCGAATTACAAGTTATCAAATTCCGAGTTAACAATGGGTTACTGTATATTGCGCATACGGTAGTATATTTTGTTTATTTATAATATATTGTACAGTCGGGGACAAAAGTTCACTCCCCATGGTGAAACCCAGTCATTGGAATGAGTCTCTGAACTGACTTGCCCTGACTGTTTTATCTCATTTGGGGTCACTTCTGCTTCATTTTGGGTAGAAGCAAACTCTTGACCCCAACTATACATGTCCAGTGGTGTTTACATAAATACAATTCATCTCTTTGTCTGTCCGACTGCAGTTAAATTGCTCTGTGAGAGATGCGTAGTTTACACTCCGAAAATTCGTCTCGAATTTGAAACCACTCTGCACCAATTATTCCGGGTAATAGGGAGATTACTGCATTCACAATCACACCCTTCCACCAGTTGTCTGGAACAATACATTTCATGATTATACAGGTTGTACCTCTCTAGCCCGGGAACCTCGGGACCTGACCATGGAAATTCACCCTCGAAACACCCTACATAAAGCATAAAAACATAAGATCGGAAATAAATAAACAAGAAAAAGTAATACTGTTAAAATACTATTTCATTTACCTTTAATGCTACCATAATTATTTTTTCAAAGTGACGTGATGGTACTGTAACTAAAATTACATTTGAGGTACATCAGGGATGTTGGCTATTGGGCAAACTAAAATCGTTCCGGACCGCAGAATGCCGGACTAGAGAGGTACAACCTGTATTAGTCAAATTAGTTATCATCAATAAGTCCCATTTGTATTCCTCATTCAGTAGCTAATCATAGTGTTTTCTTCAGGCATCCTTGATTTTCTTATTATCAAGAGCCATGTTACCATGGGTTTTTTTCACACACCAACTATTTATCTGACTATTCTGAATATCTCACCTCTTGTGTCTGCACTGTTCAGCATACATATCCCCAATGCTGTTCATGCCTCTTAGCCTTGTAAACCTCTTTTCTGGTCTTGTGGTTGGCCTCCTAGTACTCTCCCTTGTCACCACTTATATTTCAGGCCTTTGACAATCTTTTCTCCTTTATCACTCTGTCTACTTTATTATCCCACCACCATGTGGCTACATACCTGGCTGAGCCCCTCGTTCATCCACACATCTTGTCAGCTGCGCTCAGCAGGACATACTTTATTTTGGCTACACTACACCTCTTACTGTTGCTGGCTGTTTCTGCTCTTCTCAACTCGGCAGAAAATGGTTCTCTTATATTCTGTGCCAACATATTTATAACTACAGTTAATCAAGGATATTCATAACAAAATTATCTAGTTCTCTTGAAAACATCCATTGTTCTTATCCTCACTAGCAGTATGTTGAAGTCTGGTGTCCTGGATGTTAACAATATTGAGTGAGGATGTTGCTCCTGTTCCTTTCAGTTGGGCTTTTTACTAATACTGCTCTGTCAATTGCAGCAATGGAGGTTTATTTCTGTTTATATTTCTAATGCACATAAGTAAATTAGCTCTGCAAACTTTCCACACATGGAAACAGACACAGTGTTACAAATTACACTTACAATATTTCCATTTATGCTTCTAAATTCACAATGGAAAATGAATGGCATTACATGTGAATCACTCACAGTTGAAATATAGATACAGTATAACACTTATGAATACCCTGTACAAGATATTCTTCACCTATATTTCAACATGTTTTTCTCCCTTTTCAACAAGTTTTAATATTACAAAATTTTAATGATGGTTTCATATTATTGAAATGCCTTAGTATCTAGGACAATGGTCCTTTATTTAAATATTCACAATATAATACAGGGAAGTATATTACTGCAGTAATATGCATCCATTGATTCCAGGAAGTACATTCCAAAATACTGAAACAAAATTAGGAATGACAGAGGGAGGACAGCTATGATTCCATAAAAATAACATTTGAGTACCATGTGCATGGGTTGTTACAACTAAATTATAAATTATCTGACCCTAACAGGTCCAACCTTTAGCACTCATTGGATTTGACAGACTGATGGCTATGATCATGAGTTATTTATATTAATATGTGAATCTCATATTTCAGTGACTATACAATATATATTTAATATTCATTCATGATCAATAATAATGTGGCTGTACAATACATGAATATAACTAACATGAGAAACTGAAGGGGATCATTAGAACAGCATTTCAACCAGTGTTTTCATTACCACTTAATATTAGAACCTCAAAATTACATTACACTTCCTTTTAACTGGTTCTGTTTAAGAAAAGACTGAAAAGGTAGATGGGTACCACTAGTGAAAAGCATGTTCTTGATGCCACCCACCCAGGCACTGTGGCCTGGCTGGTATGAGGGAGTAACACCGCACCACTACAAGGAATACATGGTCATTCCACAACCTGCTCAACTAATTTCCCACAGGAAAATCTAATATGAACATAAACAAACAGAACAATTTAGGAAGCCACACTACTTCACATTCTACAGTGTAGAATAGAAATGTCAATAAAGTGCACAGATGAATTGTATATTTTCTAAAGGGGAATATTTGTTGATTAGATATAAGAGTGACCTTCTTCCTCTTTTATTACGTGTAGTACTCAAGGGGTCTAAAGCAAAACAAACATGCACAATGAACACTATATACTGTACACAATATGAAATTAATTCATTTGTAGGATCACACAATTCAATTGTATAATTTTTGCATTCCTCCCTCATTAGTTTCCCATTAATGAATGAGTATTCCAACCATTTCCGATCATTCCCAAGACGGCTAAATATTTGCTTGGATGGTGTAACCAGCAGCCAAAATCCAAAGAATTGATCATAAAAATGGAACAGTGAAATTATAAAATACATACTGAATTAAAATGCACCAAAGATATGCTTTCAAAACACTAACTGTGCTTTGAAAAATCCCAAGTAAAATATTTCTTATTTTTTTATATAATGTATAAAAATTTCCTAAAATATGACAGCAATATCTATCCAACCACAAATTCTAAAAAATTGTTTGATATAACTGCCAAAAGTAATCAGTCAAGAAAGAAAAAAAATGAGAAAGAAAATGAAATAACCAGATGCCAATGTTTGGACTAATGTTCACTCCTTTAACAGGCAGCATACCAAAACATTACTAATTCTTGCAAACATTATTGTTCAACTTTAAGATCTTATTCTTGAGTTGCCAAGAAACAAATTCAATTTAGACACTGTTTAGATTTTACACACTTCTCTGCTCGGGTATTTGTTGAAAACTTGGCCACATATTCTTGGAGAAAAAAAAAAAGAAGCTTCCTGACATCATACAGACGATCAGTCTTGACACTTATACACAACGATCAATCAGACCAACTATGTAGGTATGTTTAGAGAATTTACACCCTAAGACCACAGCTTTGTGAGGCGGGCAAGACTGATGAAATGACAAGTCTGTCTCTTAATAGTTAATTATCCACTATACATGAAAATAAATACAGATTTAATAGCTTTGTTCATTTCATAGGATGAAGTAATATTTTTAAACATTCAAACAAGAGACAGTCACCAAGTCACTTTATGCATTACTTGTACAACGAATATATAGTAATTTATTCTTAAAGGAAACTTTTGCAGCTGACACCCAAATTTCAATATTTTAATCACTGACAATGTGTGGCCTCAGTTCCTGTACAAATTTAACCATATATAGATGAGAACAAACCTGTCATTCAAAAGAATTTATTTTCTTAGTAATGATATGTAATTATGTGCAATATACCTGGAGGAGCCAACATTCATCGCATCTCCCTATCACAATATATACAGTGTTCCTAATTAGTATAACTTTCAATTTAAATTATCTATGATAGTGTCAATTGCACAGCATTTTTTTTCTAAAAAAAAAAAAAAAAATAATGGTAACTGGTTACTACAGTACAAAGTGAACTAACCCTCCAAGAAAATAAATTGTGGCCCTACTTTTTAAAGATAAAAATCATAAGTGCTCTTTTAATGTGAATTTAAGATATTATAAGGTACTGTATCAGGCTTCAGATCTGACCTTTTGTGGCATATTCCCTGTTATGATAGAGAAAAAAGCCTTGACATAATTACCTGAGACCTGGAAAACCCATTTCATCACTTAGTCTTATGCCACAAGATATAATCATGGTTTAAGGTCTTGGCAGTACAGTAGGTACCATACTAACTTGACCTTTAAACAATTGAGAAATTAGGGATTTGGCTACCAAATATTTGAAAACTTATGGCTAAATAAATTTTCAAATAAAATGTATGTCATCCGTACAATGATCTATTTATATAATAATTAAAAAATAAACAATCTGAAGAAAACAATTACATCTGAGGTACTTGAAGGATCGCACTATAACATTACCATCTCTCACTTTGAGCCTCCCTCTTGATGACTGAGGGTCAGTACTGTTTGATGAGGTATGATAATCACCACAAAATTAAAAACTCAACCTTAAAGTAAGAATGGGTGGTAAACATCTCTCCCAGCCACCACACGGGTTGGGAAGTGTTTCTCATAAAGAGGAACACTGTGGATGTTATTAATGTTGAGGAATATTACACATGTTACTCATCATGTTGAGGAACATTACAATCATATAATCTGACATGCTGATGGAGGATGAGCACACAATGTATGAGTTATGAAATGAAATGTGATGAAATGATGAGTATAGCACAAAGACATTCATGGTAAATGCCAAGATATATATTTTTAGAAAGAAAACATGCAAACACTCACATATTCTCATATCTGAAAAATGAGACAATGAAGTTATAAGATAAATGTTTCTCATTGTAGGGTTGCAGGTGATTTTTCTAGTCATAACTACATGACTATCTTTTCAGATCTACAATGAGCGTTATAACTCAGGTCACACACACCTTTTAATAAAATCATCCTATTGGAGTTTATATATATATATATATATATATATATATATATATATATATATATATATATATATATATATATATATATATATATATATATATATATATATATATATATATATATTATTTTTTTTTCAGATTAGCTGAACATCAACTACCACGGTGACTGAAGCTGGAAGGTAGAGTATGAATAACACAGTCTATATGACATTACATAGCAATTCTAGTATGGCTAAATAAAGAGAACATTGATTAAGTGGGCAGCTTCAATCACTGTGGACTAGAGCTCAGAAAGCTGGGAGTGTCATAATAAAGCTTTACTCACTGTACTGTTTGTTATAAAAGAAAGTGGCTGCCACACCAACAGCTGTGTGACTGGAGGGGTCAGGCATCAGGTCACATGGACACATTGGGGCATGCTGGGTTAAGCACCAATTCAGCAGTCTTGATAAAGAGTCATATCTGCTTTTAAATACTATAAATTTTTTATTAGTATTTTTTAAATTAAAGCTCATAATTCTTTACACTTAACCTCTAGCAAATGCATATACATGTTGTTGGATAAGACATGCTATGGTAATAGAGTATTTAATAATGAGCAAAAGGTTTCTGTGTGGTGAAAAGTGAGGCAGTAAAACAAGCACTTGAATGACAGTTTTGGATTTGTACCCCAATTACTGATTGAAATAGAAGTTATGACCCCTTGTTGCCCAGGTACCCACAGCATGCCCTGTATCATGCCGGAGGAAATCTGACCTTCACTGGCAAGAAACAAACAAAGCAACACAGGTGTAGACAATCACCTTGAAACACTGTCTGGACAGATGAAACAGTTACATGAGTGACCTACACATTATCATTTATATCACATAATCTTTTTTATTTGCTTATCATATATATATATATATATGTACAATCATGAATTGTACCAGTGCCTACAAAACCCATCATCAATCACTGGATGAAAGCTCTGAAACTTGTCACTCCAAAATGCATGGAGTTCATATTCCTATATTGCAAGAAGACACAATATACTCTTCACCTGTATAACTTTCTCTGAAAGTGTCCTTAACACATGAACTATTATATTTTGAATTAAACAACTGATAACTTCACAATCATGTCCCCGCCATCAAACTGGGAGAACAACAAGGAAGAAGTTCATCACAGACTAACCCCCTCCAAGGAAAAGTTCTCGCATCATCCTTTGCATTACTCATTACTATGACTTGTCATTGCCCATTTGAAAATACCAAACAGAGTTTTTCATCAATAAGCATAAAATAATAACAAATTGTTCAATTTAACACCAGCTTCAGCTTTGTTTAACTTGCAAGACAGTATACCAGGTAGCAAAATGGTTTACTGATACATGGTATCTGGGATTATACAGGATAGCTGGAGGGAGCTTTTTAACATGTGACCTGTCACAAGAATACACCAGTTTGTTACACTAGTCCTTTTTACAGCACTTACATACATATTTCTTTGTTTTGGGCTCTCATGAAGGCCACCTTGAGTGATGATCATGCAGTATAATAATAGTCTCTGTGAACAGTTATTGCAACTGTCACTTGCACATCAACACTACACTGTAAAGTACCAGTTTAAACAGTAGCATTGTGTTATGTTATTAAAACACAAGAGCCCAACTTTTTCAATACACTGTTACTGTAAAGGGTATTGTGTATCGTCAAGGTGTGAGGAAACAACACTACATTAACAAGTCACCAGAGCCTGACATATGGAGCCAAGTTACTCTGGCCATAATCTAGCCGTATTCTGAGGTCATTCCAGGTGATGATGCTGACTGTTGTTGGATAGGCAGTGGATGGTAAGTGTGGCTGTGACTTAGAGATGTGGTCGTTGGTGACGTGGGGCCAATGATGGTAATTCCATGGATCACTAGAGGATAGCACAGGAGGCTGAACAGCAGCTCGAGGATCCGCCCTTGCTCTTCTGCCGTTGATCTGTAATAAAAAATTTGTTTTCAGGTTTAAACTACAACTACATCTATGATAAAAACAAACTATAAAAATTCAAGTAATTAGTGTTAATTAATGACCTTTGAAGTAATTAAAGATATTTAAAATAATTAAAAAGTCAATTATGCTGTACCTGAAAGTTTTAAATCACCTTTATATACATTTTCTTAAATTTATAAACTATTTTTACTATAGAAACACGTTAGTTTTCACTTCCCCAAAAATTTCATTTGACGTCAAAAATACGCCTGAGCTAATACCTTGGTTCTCAGCACTTGGAGTCATACCATGTACTATTTTGTTCAAATTTTATACAAAGGTACAACTTTACATGCTGATTAAGGTTCTGGGTTAAAAATTTTAAAATTTGCTCTTCAGGGTAGTGCTAACGGGTATTACTGTACGCAGGCGGCCTTAGGTATGTACGAAATGTACGATCACACAGGGCCTGTAAGCTTGGGTGGCCCACATACACGGTGGTAGAGGTCCACATACACAAGCCAAAATACCCCACCACATACACTGTGCTGTGTAACTTGTCATTATAGGAATTAATACTAATCCAACTGCAACATGGTACAGTACATTCAGTGACAGTAGTTCGCTCTTCGTTATGAAACTGATTTAAGGGAATGAGTCTCTGAGCTTATTTACCCTGAATCTTGCCCAGTGCAGGTGTGCTGATTTATCTCATTTGGGGTCGATGCTGCTTCAGTCTGGGATTGATCGATTGGTTAAAATATCTGGCATCGCAGCCTGTGGCCATTTAACAGCGTAAATGAAACTCATAATTTAAAACTATGATATAATAAATTATAATTCTATTACATTTACTATCAGAATTAAAATAATATAAAATCAAATTTTTATTTAAAACGACAAGCGGTTAAGTACCTCTAATGCAATTAATTTTTTAAAAAGCCCACCATCAGGTACTGAATTTCTCTTGCTGAGCACCTGTGAGATGGAGGAGCCATCCTCCTGCTGGCACTCAGCCAGAAAACAACTACTTAAGTCCCCATGACTGGAACACTCTATCAGCAAGTGTCACACAGTCAGCGGCACCAGGCAGTCATCACAATAGGGCTGTGGTCCTCTGGCCATAAGTTAACTGTGGGTGAGGTGAGTGTGTCCAACACATAGACTAGTAAGGGCAGTCTCATAGCAGTGGGACATCCAAGGATATTCCCACAGATAGATCTTTGTTGTAATCTCTCGCAACTTGATGGAAACATAAATTGTCCCATTGTAGCTGCCAAGAGTTCTGGATGGATGACTTGACAGCAGGGAAGAAAGCTCTGTGAGGAAGGGAGCATAAAGGGGCATGACGAGAGGCAGCAGACTTGGCCACCTCGTCAGCCCTCATTACCTCATACAGACACATGGGCAGGAACCCAACAGAAATTTACATTATGGCCCCACTGACAGCGGACCACTAACCAGTTAAAAATACCGGTATCTAAAACAAGAGGGTGGATGGGATTGAAAGATTCCAGACAAGACATTGCTGCTCTGGAATTACTAAAAATATTAAACCTCCCAGCCTTATGTGGGATGATTTCTTTAAAGGCTAGGCTTATAGCCAAGAGCGCTGCAGTAAAAATACATGTAAAGGTGGGAAGTCCCTCACTGCGGCTAAAATCAGGGAAGATGGCTCCAAACCCAACACCAGTGTCGGATTTGGAGCAATCGGTATAAACATGCAATGAGCCATCATGCCAAGTTGCATGTTCCTGGAAATACATCCTGGTCATCACTTCATTAACATCAGCTTTGCTCTCGATGAAGTAACGGCAAGGTGCATCTCTGGTAGGTCCCAAGCTGCCAAAGTTGGCACTTTCACTGGTGTGACAGGGAGTTGGGGTAAGTGATAATCTGTCAACCAGCTCCCAGACACGAAAGCCAAAGGATCAGAAATGTTTGGGTGAAGGGTAAATCTATGGACTATGGACCTATCAGATATGGTCTCCCAGTGAGCCATTAGGGACTGCCGATGCATAGCCACCAGTGGTACACCAGCATCCACCAAAAGACTGTTATTGGGGAGAATCTAAAATTCCCTGTGGCCAAACAGTTGCCAGTGTGATGTATTGTATCGATGGTCTTTAGCCAGGCTGGTGTGGCTGAAGAGTACAGTTAACATCCATATGCCAGCTTTGACCCCATGATGACATATTACTGTACAGTCTTAAGAGGGTCCTACAGTCGGTACCCCAGGACGTGTGGGATAAGACCCTCAGAAGGTCGAGGGCTTGTAAGTGACTTAAGGTGGGGAATGCAGGTCATATCTATCTTCAACCAGGCCTAGGAAGCATGTCTCTTCTACCACCAGAATGTGGGCACTATATAATGCAAAGTCGGAGTCAGGGTGGGGACACCAGAGCTGGCAGAAATGCATGGCTACAGTCTTCGAAGTTGAGAACCTGAAACCACACTCCTCTGCCCATCGGGACACCCGATTCACTGCTAATTGAAGTTGTCACTCAGTTAAACTTAGATGGGATGACGAAAAACTCATTGCTAAATCATCTACATATACCCTGGAGTGTGAGAGATACTCCGAGGAATTCAGTTTGGGAGGGAGTGAACTTTTTACTCTGAGTGTACAGTACAGTATGTATATATGATCTTCAATTCTACCATTTTTTTTTGAACCAACACATAATAAAGGTACAGTATTATAACTTGCAAACATTCTAATTTTGTTTATAAGAGGAATAAACAAATTGCACTGTTCAGAAGATACACATCTAGATGATCCACCTCGATAACACTAAAAATAAGGGATTGTCTATGAAAGGAGATCACTTTAATACAACTACTGTACCAATTTTGCAATGGAGTACCGTACTGTCGGCTGAAGAGTCACCATAACATGAACAAGAATGTATGAGAAGAAACCCACAACATTTTATGTGCCATTGTGGGTAATATTGTACTGTCAATAGCTAAAGGTAATGATTAGAGCAGAGACTGTGTAGGAGACTTACTGTGCAGTGTTAGTTTCATTTCACCTACCTTGAGAGTTGGGCTCTGGTAGGTTCTCTCTGGGAACAAGATGCATGACACAAGTCTTGCCGGCTGGGAGTCCCAGTGCTCCTAACGTTACGTTTCCATGAAGAAACCGCCCTTGGTAAATCAGACGTAAAATTTCTGCCTTGCTAACACTTTCATCTGCCCATTCTGCAAATGCAATATGAGATTAATAAAACAAATATTGAATATTATAAATTATTGTACCAATATCCAAATTACTTCTCTATTCATTTCCTTTCCTCTGCTCTCCCATTTTACATGAGATTGATTAAGGAATTGGTAGGTTAGTAGTAGGCAGCTATCAAACAGGGACATACTACCGCCTGGGAAGATATTGGAAGCATAATAAGTTGTCTAAAGGTAGATCTAGCTGCCATATGGCATCTCAAAAATTGTGACCAAGTCCCAAGTTGCAGATCTGACTTTCTTCCTCATTAACACACAATGGCTGGGTCTCAATTGTTACTATTACTTTGACAACACAACACTATATATATATATATATATATATATATATATATATATATATATATATATATATATATATATATATATATATATATATATATATATATATATATATATATATTATCGTCTCTCACTATGTTTATTTTTCATTTCTGTATTTATTCTGGTTCAAGGTAAAAGCTTGGTTCAAGGGGGAGGGGGTAAAAAAGCTATCACAAATGGAACACATCAATAAATGTAAACTTTTAAGTTAAGATACCAAAAAAAGAGACCAACATTATCAGAGGCACTACAGTACTTACCTTCGGGCCAGTTATCAAAGACAAACTGTGCTATGTCCCCCGCTGATTCACTAGGGCTGAAGAGGAACTCTTTCGTCTTTCCGCTCACCAGTATGAGGCGGAGATTGATCTGCAACAAATTTAGCATTTTACTCGTATGTCAGTGCAGTACAGTACACGAAATGTAATAGTACACCGAATGACACATGGTAGGTTTCACATGAGGTAGTAAAGTGTTATTGTTATTACATAGGTATGAAGTTATTAAGCATAATTTATTTCTGACTAATTGACCATGATTGTCTTTTAACGTTGGAAGCTGAAGAACACACACAAAGATGATGTATATTAACCCACTTCTCTCTCTCACACACACACATTAAAAATCCACATGTTATTTCTAGGTCTTAAAAATAGGTCACTTTATATGTCAGTGATGGCCATCATATTTCATCAGAGGCACGTAACCACTAAACTATAACATAAAGCTATACTGGACATCAATTAAGGTTTTTCCCTCCTACATAAAATGGGTTCAGTATATAATATGCCTCATCTACTCAATATTAATGACATTGATACTGTATATAAAATAACTGACCTTTGACCCTCGGATGACCTTGACCTTTGCCACAAATATCTGTCATATTCTGCTCTGCTTCCAGTAATATATATTATGACTGCTTATAAGAATATTTTGAGTTTTCACATAAACCAAATGTAAATTAAGCAAATTCATAAAGTAAATGGTGAAATAATGTAACAAAAAGATCCCAGGTCACTTCCACTCAATGTTGCGACAAACTAAATTCATCACTTCGTCATCTGGTCTCTTTTGTTGACATATAAGAGCACACACAATGACTCCTGCTGGTGACGAGAGCTCCTGGCGTCTGGGTGCTCCGCCGCAACGTCACAAATAAACTTAAATCTGGCAGATGGCGTGAGTGGAGTAAGCTTAACTGGGCAGCTGTTACTAACGACCGAGTGCGCCATTCCTCCCTGCGGCCGCTGCAGCAGAAGCACCGACTCCCGAGGCAAAGACTTCATAATCACAACCAGGTACTACATATCAGTCTGTCTGTCTGTCTGTCTATGTAACGTAAGTCAACCCCCATCCCCCTCACCTAGTTATCAATACCCTGTACTCTTCATTGCTACCTGCCAAAACACACATACCCGCCACTTCTCAGCTGGGGGGCGGCTTAGTAAATACACATGACGTTATACGAATCCTGGCCAGTTGGCTGCTCATTAGTAAATAGACAAACTTATTCATGGTTAGTAAAGGTGACTGTGGTATTGGAGTGAGTTTTGTTGTGGTGGTGCTAGAGTGAGTATTGTTGTGGTGGTGTTGGAGGAATGTTGTTGTGATGCTGGAATGAGAGGTTGTGGTGGTGTTGGAGGAATGTTGTTGTGATGCTGGAATGAGAGGTTGTGGTGGTGAAGAGAGAGGTGATAGCGAGGGAGTGAAGGAGAACTGGTGACAGTGAGGGCCGAGGGGGTTGTGGTAAGGGACTGAGAGGTTATGATGGGAGGGTTAACAGAGGGACGAGGAAGTTAGTTAGTGTAAGCGATGGCGGGTGTCAGGATGTACAGGAGGCAGTTTTAAGACGCCGTCGGGAGGTCCTGTAAATAACACCCAGGAAATCGATGACCTACTAACCAGACCGACTCCGTTCTGCTCTGCTGGGAGGGAAAGAGGCCTCCCCTATTCCATTCCAACCCGCCTCTCCCCCTCCTCCCCTGTGCGAGCACAAACATGGCGGCACTACAGCAAACACCCTTTCCCCTTATGACCACTCCTTCCCTCCCTCTCTCCCGTTGCGCATACACACACACATATATACAAGTCTGTGGGCAATGTTACACCTCTACATACAATGATATCAGAGCCTCCACTTCTACGCATCAGGGGAAAGAGCCTCCTCCACCCCCACAACTTGCCCGCTACACGTGACGCACAACATTAAAGGGGCCACACCCACCCACTCCTACCATACCGTACCCTAGGAACAACCCGTAGTGGTAAACTCCATTACATCACAACTCCACGGGTAAGCCAGCAACAACCCATATAACACAACCACAACAGAAGCGTCCCCTACGTCATATAAAGCCAACAAATGTAAAGGTTTTAGATCTTCACAAACGTAATACAACAAAGGATTTATCTCTCAAGACGTGAAGGCAGGGGGACTTTTCTCAAGAACGCCCAAACTCTATTGATCCAATGTCAAATTCCAGAGCCAGTATTTTAGAGAGGAACAATAACATCAACACCACCACCACTGACATAATACAGACAGGCGTTACTGGCAGCAGATGAACACACACACACACAAAACCCCTCTCAACGTCCTGTAGTCTACACACACAAACCTTAACAAGGTGAGCCAGGGGGAGGCGGGAAAACAAAGAAACCTTACTGAAACCTGGAGTAAAAATTGAACAAGTTTCCCCAAGAGTAGGACCATAAGAAAACCCAAGGTGCACGAGGGAGGTAATGGGATCTATTGATACTGGGAATGAGGAATTATAACGGTAAGCTGGAGAGGGAACGATTCTTGCTGGGAGACGACCACCAAGACACAAAGGAATCAAAACGATGGCAGGACAAAGCATAAAAAAAAAAACTTCGCCATCTCTACGTGGACTAAGGTAAGCTCACTAACATTCAATCTCAAGAGTAATTTCCTATAATCATGACATAACGCCTACAGCCATTCAAACCATATGAGTAAACCCTTGTACGTCAATAGTAAAGTATCCCAGACCTCAACACCGTCCTGAACAAACAAACATCCACATCAACACAAGTTAATGATACATATAATGGTAAGTTCAGATGACAATGACGGCTACAACTGTTATAAACTTGTGACGTAAGAGACTATTGAAGTGAAAAAAAAAAGAATGTAACGAACACAACTTAAAGACACTACGTTCCAACATCCCTATACGACGCCTGGAACAAAACCTAACCTAACCTCACGACTTGGGATATATCATTCAAAGCCAATCCTAAACCAAACTTAAATCCCTATTACTTTTCAACAATCTAAAAAGTAGTGAGAATAAAAAAAAAACACCAGATTGACAAAGACGCCGACAAGGTACAGTATACCAAGACCAAAAGCGAGTAAATGAAAGAGAATTAATAACGGCGTTAACAGAATTTCCACGTTGACTTCGATCTTTACTGAGGCCAATGAATACATCAACGAGGAGTAAACAGCGTGAGAGTTCCCCCCAAAAAATACAAATCGGATATAGTGGAGCAATAAATATGAATAATACAACGCCATTAGATATACATATTCAGAGACGCGCCATTGTACTCTCACTCTCTCCAGTACAGCCTCTTTCAACACCTAAACACATAGAATATATATATATATATATATATATATATATATATATATATATATATATATATATATATATATATAAAACCACAAGGAAAAAGAAACACGTGGTTATCAGCATATACCTGGATCACGCGCACCTACAGTGATTTACATATATATATATATATATATATATATATATATATATATATATATATATATATATATATATATATATATATATATATATTATTTGGCTAAGACCACCACTCACTAACAAGAATAAATATTGAGAGATATGCAAGATTATATACTTCAGAGACAAGAACGAGTTGACACTCACCTCTCCTCAGTTCAGGGACATCAACATTGCGCGTCATTATTAAACAAACAGTGAGCGGGAAGGTTTCACAAATATGTTGCAAATTCGCAAATACACGCTATAGAACCATAGTACAGCATCCAAACACACAACACAGCAGCTGGACGACAGAGAGAGAGGATGGAACAGGGAGACAAAAGGAAGCGGGGTAGATGACCAGATGGTGGGTTGGGTGGTGATAATGATGGTGATACTATCGTACTCATTCCCCTCACTGACTCATCAACACTCCACTCCAGCTACTCCACTGTTGCCTTATCCTTCCCTTTCCATCTTTATCTCTCTCTCTCCTTCTATTTTATCAAACACTTTCTCATTCTCCACACACACACACACACACACACACACATTTGTCCTCTCCTCACCACCACTTTCAGTCATCTCCCTAATCTACCACCACCTTGCTCGTCCCTCCTAAGGATTAAGCCGTGTTGTATAAGTCACCAGAGTAATAATAATAGTAATAGCAAAAGGGTGACATATAATAGCAAAAGGGTGACATATAATAGCAAAAGGGTGACATATAATAGCAAAAGGGTGACATATAATAGCAAGAGGGTGACAATTAAATTTAAATTCAATAATAGCAAGAGGGTGACTATTAAAACAAGGCTAGTGAAGGGGGGATACACACGCAGGAGGAGTACTAGTAGTAGTGTTTTTAAAAGGAGCAGGATATGGGGAAATTATACACAAGGTAAAAAAAAAAAAAGTGTTGATAATGGAGGAAATAAGTTTGGTGATTGTGGGGCGGCGGTGGTGAGCATCGGCACTGCAGTAAACACAAGACTCAAGCAATCTATATACAGGCGCTGCTGGTGGTGGTGGTGGTGGTGGTGGTGCGGCGTGCGTGACGTCACCGCTGTAAACATAAACAACTCCACAGCCTCCGCCACAACCCTCTAACTGTTCTTCCTTAACCAGTTTCCTCTTCCAGTTATCAAGTTCAAAATAAATACGCTATTTTCTTATTACACAGCCTTGACTTATTAATATCAGAATTATGTAAATAAGCAAAAGACGACGATGGCATATCATAATATTAAGTAATATTGGCTGGCGTGACACGGAAGATTTCACCCGTGAACCTAATCTGCACATCGGACGTGTTGCAGTGGAGGTGCGGCGGAACATACCATCACAAAGGCACATCTCCCACACATTCCTGCATCTCACACACACACACACACACTTCCTTCCCACCTCTTGTAAGTAAGCCGGCTCTCTCTCTCTCTCTCTCTCTCTCTCTCTCTCTCTCTCTCTCTCATCTCCCCGGGGAAGCCTTTCATTCCCTCTAATGCCTAACTCTACTCCTCCCATCCCCACTTTAGGTACCTCTTCCTTTCGTCTTAACCCTGACCCTTACACCAGGTGCCCCTTATTTCTGCTGTACGAAAC